TCTCTCTCTCTCTCTCTCTCTCTCTCTCTCTCTCTCTCGCTCTATCCCTGTCGCTACCATAATCTATATCACAAGGATGTGTATTCTGTACTGGTCATGCCATCTTCAAATTGATTGTATGTACTTATTGAAATACTTTTGTACATGCCTTTATGCCCATATTTCCTCGAAGGGGTTCGGAAAATTGGGCTTGTTTTCTTATATCGCCGTGTATACAAAAGTTCAGACCATCACAGTACCAGTCATTGAATAGTGATTTGTGCTTGAAACCAACTAGACACTCACTGATCATTTCAAAGGCAAAGCAGTTACAGAAGAATTAAGTGTTTGTAAAGCAACATATCATCACAGGATAGGGAAATGTAGAAAGTAAATTTGTTCGTGGCCTATACCCTGATCCACGGCTGCTGCTGCTGATGATGATGATGATGACGATGATGAAAGCAACATATCTGCTCTTTTTTTGGGAAATAATTGTCAAATATCTTGGCACCCAAAATATTTTTAGTATCATTCTTCCTTTCAATTTTTGGAATGTTGTATTTCAGATTGCGTGCACAGTGGTGGCGGCGGTACTGCACTTCCTCTTTCTGGCTGTGTTTTTCATCATGTTGGCCGAAGGCATTGAAATACTGGTGTTTGTAAAGGTTGTGTTTGAGAAAGGTTCTTTGCTGTGGAGACTGCTTCTTGTGGCCTATGGTGAGCTTAGTTCATGTCCATCTGTCTTTGTCTATTTGTTGACGCAGCTTTGCTTACGTAAACAAGCAGTGACAATTTTATTTGTCTTTACATGGCATAAATTTGCTTGACAATTAATGTCTTATGGCTTGCTGGGTTCCTAAGTGTTCAACATCTCACTATTTTAGGATAACTAAGTTCATTTTATTTTCATAATTTTTAGTCTAAAGAAAAATCTGGTGCAGACTTAAGGGAAAATATGAGCTTATTAATGTAATAAATTAGGAGACACTCGGTTTTGAAGCCATGGACAGAAAAGATTGTACAATGTTTTTATTGTGCAGTCTCAACTATACTAACTAAATGTCAAAAGTCATTATCATAGAGAAATATGCAAGTAAAGTAATTCAAGTCAAACCGGCTAAAGCTCAAGGTTGGCTAATTTGGGTTCCAGATCGTTGTAAGTAAAGGCCTTTGATATGTTAAGCATTGTAAAACAGAAGGACATTTTCAGTCCTTAGCACATAATCGTAGTTGCAATGATGAGAGACCTTTTTTTCTTCTTTTTTCTTGGATAAATGAAATGTGTCGTACGCATGAACTCACGCTGTGTCCAGCCATCTAAAAGTTGGTAGGCTAACATTGCTCGTTATGGTTTATGTGCGATTGGCACAGGGGGGACATATAGCCCAGGGAGCAATTTTTTTCAGGAGAAAGAAAAAAAACCCTTTAATTCTTTTATGAATTAATTGTATTTACTGTATTTATCTTTCTTGTCTCTTTCAGCGTTTGGGATTGAATTTTGACAAAGAATTTCTTGAGCACATGTAAACGATACCATGGATTAAGAAACTGCCATAACATTTTTTTTCGTCAAATTTGGGTCTTAGTTCATCTGAATAGTTGTCCGTCGAAAAGTAATTTGTCGAAACTGTGAAAATCCCCGCACCTGGAATATTATTTAATAACAATTATAATTGCATTTATGTAGTGCATATCCATACTCTATAACATGCTCTCTGTGGTTTACAATCGTTATGAATATCAGGAAACAGTGGCAACTCTGACTTTGCCGTCTGAAAAAAGATACTGTGCTCCAAGACAAGTGAACGTTGTGTCCCTCAGGAAAATACATGTCATCCTTTTAGAAGTCTTCCAGTCTCTTTTAAGCTGCTTGTGAACCCCAAAAACATCGTTTCTCATAATATCTTATTTCCTCTGGGTTCTGGGTTACTTCCACAGGAATTCCTGTGGTGATCGTAGGGGTGTCTTTGGGAGTCACTAAAACAGATGGATATGGAAATGAAAATTTGTAAGTATGAGCACAGAAACATAATATCTGAAGAAATATTCAACATGTTGTATTTGCTTTTGAGACGTCCCCATTGCCTGTACTACCTATTTCTCATTGTCACCCGCCTCTCTTCCTTGTCCCCTTCCTCTTACTCATCCACCACCTCCTTTGAGTATTTCTTTTGTGTTTTGTCTTAAAGGAAGGGGAACAAGTAGGCTGCTTCCAGTGGACACAGTGATTTTAAAGATGCAATGTGCACAGTTCCTGCGATAGCTAGCAAGGTCTGAATTCTCCCCCCCCTCACCCCCCCCCCCCCGGATGTCAAAGGTTGACATTCATACAAGCTTTACTTTACTTTACTTTTCCGATCCAAGGGCCAATTGAGTTCTAGCCCTTCGGCCTGACGATATGGCAAAGAATTTACAGGTTTTTACCAGCTGTGTTTAGTCGTTGTATAGAGTATTTCCGATGTCTGGGGAGGCAGGTAGGTAGGTACTACGCAGGTCCTTAAGTGCAGGGCAGGTAAAGAGGTGGTGTGATACTGTTTTCATCACATTCGTACTTGATGAATTCCTTATTCCACAAAAACAACCTTGAGCACCCTCAGACTAGGGGTGTTAAAAAACATGTCAACGCACTCATTTCTCACCATGTTTGCCTACCTCAATAAGAGCCTCGCTAGTTATCCTGGGGTCACACCCAACAGGCTCGCTGCCTTCAAGGTTATCTGAGTAGTCCTCTCACCCGTCCAATTTATTTCGGTTATTTGGAGGGAAATCCCAACATACGCCTTCCAAATGCATGTTATTATATTTTAGTCTAGACGCATCAGACAATTTAGTTCCAATATTGATTTGTGACAATGCTTCAAAATGTGATAATACGTATGTATATTTAATTATATGTAAGGATTTTACAATATCTATTTTATGTGTGTATATATGTGTGCATGTGAGTGTGTGTGTTCTGTGTGTGTGTGTGTGTGTGTGTGTGTGTGTGTGTGTGTGTGTGTGTGTGTGTGTGTGTGTGTGTGTGTGTGCGTGTGTGAGAGAGAGAAAAAGAGAGAGAGAGAAAGAGAGAGAGAAAGAAAGAGAGATAGAGATAGAGAGAGAGAGATAGATAGATAGATAGATAGATAGATAGATAGATAGACACACAGAGAGAGAGAGAGAGAGAGAGAGAGAGAGAGAGAGAGAGAGAGAGAGAGAGAGAGAGAGAGAGAGAGAGAGAGAGAGAGAGAGAGAGAGAGAGAGTATAATTATGTGTTTGTAGAACATCATTTTCAATACATATGTATAATTACAAAATTGTTTTTCTTTCTTTTAACTACAGCTGTTGGTTGTCAGTGGATGATGGATTACTGTGGGCTTTTGTTGGTCCTGCTCTAGCGGTTCTCTTGGTGAGCTATTTGCGGACCATGTTGTCTGTTTTATGGCATCGTCTTCCCAGAAACAAGCTTATTCCTCCTATAAAGTTTCTTCTCTAAACAATATCTGGTACTGCCCTGTTTTGTCTAGATACTCAAATATATTTTTTCCGCGTCTCAAAAAACAAGTGTGAAAATGGTTTTTACATGCAAATGTGTTATAGTTTCGAGGAAAAGAGTTTTTTTTTTTTCTCAGCGTAATCATTTAAAGATAGAGTCATGCCGAAACTTGATTTCTAATTTATTTAAAAATAAGCCGCAGTTTCAATTTGATTTTTTTTCACACAAGTTGGGTAACTGAGGTTTTTGATTTAGCAAAAAAAAAAAAAAAAAAAAAAAAGAAGTTTGGCACCAAAATGAAAAAGGGCCTTTTGTCAGCTTACGGCAGAAATAGCCTGACCATTACAGCACAGTCACTAGTCAAGGTCTTTTTAGACAGGGAAGATGTTGAGCACTTGATTAGTTTAACCCCCTCCTTCCCCACAACAAGTTTTTACTTTGTCAATACTCTTCGCCTTTCCGTCTTTATTACAGATTTTTTCTTTATTACGGAACTTTTGGTTGGTTTTATTTCTTTTACTTAACTGAACTTCCTGATATCTGTGCTGGGTTATCTTTGTAGTTTCAGTGATTCGCCGCCAAGGAACATTATTCTTAATTCTGACAAGTTACATGTATGTAATTTATCCAATTTACACTCGATTTTTTGCGTTTTAACGATTTTAAACAGAAATATTGACCAGTATCAGGCCGAGAAATGAACTGTTGAGAAAAAACCAACTTGTTTCGCGCGCTCATATGACCTTATGCAGTTGCGAGCGCCGTAAAACCCCATACTAAAAAGAAATCCAATAAATTTAGAAACTTTGTACAAATGAGTTTTTAAACATACATATTGTAGCTTAGTTGCAAGGAAATTCACATGTATGTGTTTTAAGGGGTGACAGGAAACAACAATGGAACATAATTATATTACGTATGTAGTACAACTAATTGCAGAATCACTTTTTAAATGGTCAGCATTGAGGATGATGTACCTTAGTTTACTTTTAGTAGAGTTTTTACGGCTCTCGCAACTTCATAAGGTCATACCAGCTCCAAGATATACCTTAATCAATTTCATCGTCCACTTAAAATGACAAGGATGATTTTGCATGTCCAAACTTAACTGAACACATAGTTTTTTTGGGTTCTCTTCAGACTAATTTCATCATCGCTGGACTTGTTGTGCATACACTTCTGAACACGGCTACAATGCTAACCAAGGGGGTGAAAATGAGAACAAGGTAAGTTTGTATACGGTACCTTTTCCTAACACAGTCTGGTATGCACATAGCGAACATGCATATAATGAAACAGGCGCACTACCAACATATTTTCAAGTTCCGGATTTTTTTACATACATAGCGAAATTCTTACATAATGAAAAGATTTCCGAGTACCATAGATTTCATCACATGCGTGCTAGACTGTATTTATATGTTTTAACGTGTGACCCTTTTGAAACTGATAGTTATTGTGATATGTGTTCTTTTAATAGAAAAATAAATGAAAAGGGTCTCTGTTCTTGCTTTTACGAGTATTAACTGCATTACCCTTTTCCTGTTTAACCCAGCTAAAACCCGTGGATACAAAAATGCTGCACCATAGTTCGACCTGACCAAAAAAGGCTGGTAAAATGGATAATGGGCATGATTCTTTTAGAGGCAGTATGGGCTGGATTAATCTAGACCTCACTGTCAGAGGGATAATGTGGACAAATGGGGATAGGCATTAAATCTAAGATCCTTAAAAGTTGGAAGGAGCTTTAAACCTGTGCAGCACATTGTCATACCGTGTTTGAGGGGGGGGGGTGTTTAACTTCACAAAAGCTCTATGCACTATGCAATCAGTTTCCACGCCACTTGGGGGCCATATTTGAACCAGTTGGTTCATGTTACGTATTCTGGGTACATTTTCAGGTCTGTGGTGAAGGCTTTGTGTATTCTTTCCCCTCTCTTGGGACTCACGTGGGTTTTTGGTGCCATGTCTGTGAACGAGGACTTGGTGGTTTTTCAGTACATATTTGGCATCTTGAATTCCCTGCAGGTAAGTAATACTATTTTGTGCTTTTATTTTTTTTGCTCAAGTCATTGACGAATTTGATAAGTTATCCTGATGCTTTAAGAGATTGCAATGCAAGACTCGTTTGAGAAATTGTGTTGTCTTTTGTGAGCTCGAAAGACCTTTGTGTTCTTTTTCTCAACAGAACATTTGGCATGATTTGTGGGCGAACTGTCTTTAAGTCTGAATAGCAATAGCATTCAGTCCCATTTAATTCAAAATGTTCCAATTCTGTATCCTTGTCCTTGTTCCTTGCCTTCGTCTTCTTTATCTTCATCCTCCTCCCCTCCCCCCCCCCTTCCTTTTCCTTTACGTCTTCTTCATGTTGCATTGGTATATATGTTCCTGTTTTAATTGACTGTGTCAATAGTTCCATATGCCCAAAAATTAAAGAGCGCCTGATTTCATTGTTTCGTGATTCCCATTTGTCCGTTAAGTCTTTAAAAAGATAAAAGCTTAAGTCAAAATTGTGATTTCCTCTTGTACTTTTCAGGGCCTCCTGATTTTCCTTTTCCATTGCGTGTTCTGCCATCAAGTAAGTTGCTTGAATAAAATATTATACCCCCCCCCCCCACACACACACACATATATATATATATATATATATATATATATATATATATATATATATATATATATATATATATATATATATCTATATCTATATCTATATCTATATCTATATCTATATCTATCTATCTATCTATCTATCTATCTATCTATCTATCTATCTATCTATCTATCTATCTATCTATCTATCTATCTATCTATATATATATATATATATATATATATATTATCTATCTATCTATCTATCTATATATATATATATATATATATATATATATATATATATATATATATATATATATATATATATATATATATATATCCATATCCATATTTATAGCCGTCTTCGTTCTGTGTTGGTCTGTTTTTATTATGACACGTCATTCATTTATTTGTATCATAAACCTCTAATTGTGTTTTATTTCTTTAATGATATACGTGTGATAATGTTGTTTATTTTTTTTTCGAAGTTGCATCACTCCTCTCTCTGCTGATTATTATTTTTTGCTATATTTCATTTTGCAATGTAATGTTTGTTTAATCTTCTTACCTCGTCTTTACTCCAAGTTGTTCAAGTACTTACTTTACAATATGTATTTTTTTCCATACAAGCATACTATTTTGGGTAATAGTTTTGTACAAATCATTCTTTATTATACATAAGCAGAGATGTTATTTTTGGTTCCTGTTATTTCTCAGATCAGAGATGGTTACAATGCCGTGAAACGCAAATACAGGGCTCGCTCATTTGACTCTGGACAGAAACTGGCTTCATCTTCCAATGTAAGGAACTACTCATTACTGTCGCTTTGTGTCATGGTTGTTACTATTGCCTCCTCCAGCAAAAGAAAAAAGTTCAATTCCCATATCAGCCACTCCGCTACCTTAGAAATACAAAGATCTATATATTTTTGGCTGTTTTGAGTTACTAAAACCTTGATGTCAGAAACGTTCTATATGATCTATCAGAATCGTAATTCGTTATCAAGATATTCAAAGACTTGCATTCCAAAAAGCTTGACGTGTTGTGAAGTTCAAAAGTTTTAATGTCAAATAAACTAGGTACTGAGCAAATAGAACCTTGTGGTTCTTGGGTAGCGACTTACTTAACTCTTGCATTAGAGAACACAATGTAATATAACATCCCCACAGAGCTAAGCTGGTGCACCATGGCTTGTGGCTCTGTCTTTTACACACTAGACGTGCACGCTTTGTTTGTGTTCGGATTTAGTGTGGCATCAAAATTATGTTTTTGTTTTCTTAAAGAGTATGCGAAATTGTCTAAAACAGCCAGCAATTGCCGAGGAAAAAGTGGCCGTCTTGCGCACTGTCGTTATAATGTAACAAAAAACTCGAAGGAGGAATTGGGAGGTTGGTTTTGGAACATGGGATTGTCTTATGCGGATGCCGTAGAGCACCTTTGACAGTATTTCTGTCCAGCCCAGTGTACTATAAGGGTCTCAAGTGCATAGCTTTCATTATGTCCCCTGGAGTATTGACAAAAGCTGAACATTATATTTTATTTGCACCATATGACTCTCATATTTTGGGTTTTTAAGATTGCACATTTTCTTGAAAGTCTAAGTGGGTGGTTGGTGGGTGCTCTGGTGTGGTTTGCTCCCTATTTCCTATTAAAAATAATATCGTTATTATCTCTCCCCTCTTTTGTGTTTGTTAATCTCTTGTAACATCTCTAGTCTTCGGCACAAAAATTATTTAACTGTGTTGCAAGTGCCATAAAACACACGCACTAAAACATTGAAATTCAATGCCCTCTGAGATACAGAGTGAATCACTATAAATTTTACATTATGTTGCAATATTTCAAGTGTAAATAAAGGCTGATGAGTCATTTTATTCCTGGTGTTTACTCTTCCATTTCAGAAATTTTACTCAGATTCTGAATCAGGCTCAGGATTGGGCAGTAAGGCCAATTTGAAGAAAGGTAAAATTTGTCAGTCTTGTACCTAAATCCGCACGGTCTCTTATTATCATTATACTATTTTTACCTCAGTACTCATATTCTCATTATAGACATTGGTAGGATGAATAACTTTTTGTTGATTTTGCCTTTTGTGATCCGTCAATAATATTAATGTAATTCAAAATCTTGTCAATGGAAAGTTACTGCTATACGAAAAATGTTTTTGTTGCGTACGTATAACATGATGTGGAATTTTCGTAAGTTAACAGCATTCACTCCAGCTAAGGCAAAATTGAAACTGTAGAAAAGATTTATGAGTATGCTGGTTCTACATTCTTATGCCTGCGAACCCTATAGCTATAGAAGTAACTTAGAATCTTTCGTTACAGGAGAAATTTATGGGAGGACTTTAACCTGTAAATGACAAAATGAAGACGTTAAAATTCAGTCGAAATTTAAAAAAAATGTGTTGTCTCTTTCATACGGTTGCGTACAACTAACTGATTATAATTGTGTTTGAGATGTTAGGCTCTGTGTTTCGTTCGGTGGAAACTTATTTTGGGCTTTCAACAACCCCTCGCATAGGTGCACTGAAGGTGTGGCCACTGAAAGTTATGAGTTTGGGTACCTTTGAATACACAGGCAGTGCCGCTCTATTATCATCACGTGATGTCCATACGTACACCCTTTAGGACAAAATGAGCCCTATCAGGTTTCGTTGGATTTTTGTAAAGAAAGTGATTTACATGTGAGCATGCCATGTAATAATGTACAATCCTACCGGGAAAATTGTCCTTTTTAGAGATTCTTACCTTACGTACTTGGCCAATTGGTCAGGTCCCTTGAAAGTTGTCAAGTAGTTTTAATTTGGTTTGTTTTTGTAATGTGTCAGCTTATCCCTTTCCAGATTGCCCACTGCTTAATTAACAGGCTAATCCCAATAATGTTGCTGTGGCCTCTCATGGTGTGCCAAATTGCCACGAGCACCGTGGAAGCAAAGATCAACAAATTCACCCAAAATAGAATACACACCCAACTTCCCCTCCACTACATTGTATTATGTTTACTCACTGAACCACAACTGAAGTCGTGTATTCCTTTAACTCTTTTATACAGTATTATTATTCGTATAGAAGATACAGATTTTTTGCAGATGCTCAGTGTGCCTTCTTGAATGACATTTTTTGCAGACACTGCAGCAGCCGTCCATAACAGTGACTACTCACTTTGCAATCCAGCCTTGGAATCCGATGGAAGTACAGGAAGAAGTGCTGCTACTACAAGTGAATATGGGAGTTCAGCAGCGTCGGAGAGACCACAAAATGCTGCCAGTGTAGTTGTTCCCTCTGGGGAGTATGATACTCTGGTGAGTCTCCCCCCTCCCCATGCCCCTCCTCCCCCAGCAGTCAACAGAATACATCTGCCAATGCCAATGAGGTGCAAAGTGGAAGTGCTATTATACTATTAATGAAAGGTGTAGTTTCTGCTTTTTAGGATGAAGTAGGTGTTGGAGGTAGATCGATTACTACCGATGTGTCAAGCTTGCATGATTAATATACACACCCGACTTACCGAACACTACGTAAGATTATGTTTACACACTGAACTCCGGCTTCTTCTTAGCTGCCTTCCTCCTCCTCCCCTCTCTCACTGGTCATTTTGGGATAATTAAAAAGGTTTCAAACAATGCTGCAATGCAGATTAAGGGTTGAGATTTGGCACAGTTCTAAACCTCTTCAAAATCTTTCAAATAAACCAAACACATTGTTGTTAAGTTCAATATTTATTTTTCGTCTTTAAAAAAGCAGCCCACGTTTCCGTGTTCCGGAAAGTCTAGACGATTGTATTGTAAAGATTGAGTTAAGGATACTATTTCTTAGACCCGTAAAAACTTCAACATTGTTCTTGACTTGGCTTCTTAGAATGCTCTTTATTAAGAACAGTTGTTGTACAGCTTTTGATCCACACATATTAGTTGTTTGCTGGTGCTCCAGTTGTAATATGAAATATTCGATTGGGATTCAGTGTCGGGATTAGGGTTGACTGAGTTTAAGATCTCTCTCAGGGTCAACCCAGTCTGTTATCCATCCCTCTCCTCTATCATGTATATCCTGAACCATATCCGCCCCTTGGCTTGCGAGTTAGTGAAGAGCCATGAGCAGATTAAAGTACCAGTTCTCACCTATCTTTTCTAGTGTATCGCTAAAGAATTTCTCAGGCTGTAGGGAGGGTCACCCCTGTCCATTCTTTTTCATATCAAAATCTGTCCACCCCTCTTTCCCCCCCTGACTATGCATTGCAAGACTACCTTACTTACCAGTGCCATAAATGTCCCCTCTCCTCTCCCCCCCCCCCTCATCCCATGCTAATCATTCCCGCTGGACATTACGAAGAGTTGCGTCTCCACCTACGATAGACTAACAACAAGCACACATATCTCAGCTCCGATATACATATTATAGGAACATTACCACTAATTATCTCTTCCTGCAGCAGGAGTGTCTTGTTTTACTTTGGTGTGCCCTTTCCATATGTGAGGCAACGTGGTGGAATCCGGCTTTCGTCAATTTTTGGGCATGTAGAGTTATTGGTATCATCATAAAGCTTGTTCACTTGTCTTTATTTGGATGAACAAAATATCTTTTGATCTTGAATACGACTCGAGATATTTGCAAAAGAAGGACGTTGGGGTCACCTGTTTTAAGAGGTAAAATTAGTGAGAAAATGGCTGTCAAAGATTAGTTATTTCCTTAGCTTAAAAGTCCGTGGTAACTGAAAATTTACATTTTTTGTTAATTTAATCAACGTTTTTAAAAATAAACCACACAAAAATGAGTTCTTTAACGGGTATAAAAGGTGTTGAGCCAAAAAAAATATTGAATTTGATAAAAATTCACAAACCTGTGGAAAAATGCAAGTTTCTTCACTTTGATTATTTTGACGAGAGCCTGGTTTCACCACGCTGCCTCACATATGCTACTTTGTTGCAGAGTGCCAGCAACCTTTCTTGAGTATCTGGCGTTTAATGCTACTTCTATGAAGGCTGCTATTGACTTTATGTCTTGAGGATTTGCGTTCCGTTCAGAAAGTTTTGTTTATGTCAGAACCTTGTTGGATTTGTTTCTCAGTAGTATATCATCATCATCCAGTGCCAGATCTGTGACAGACATCGGGGATCATGGTTTTCCATTCATTCCTTTGCCCGGATGCTCTAAAAAAAGTTACGTTTCCCTGATCTTTCCCTGTTTCCCATTTATTCAGGTTCCCTAAGTATGTTGTTCTGGGCCTACCCCTGCCTCACTTGCTCTCGATTTTGCCAGTGAGAGCTAGATGTTCAAGACCCTTATGTCTATTCAGGTTTCCCAAAAACTGCATTTGTCGTTTCCTGATAGTTGTTAACATTGAGCGTCCCACGTGGGCTTCATCAAGCACTACATCATTTGATTTCTTTTCTTTCCACGATACTCTTAGCAGTCTCCCAAGAAACCACATTTCTGTTGCTTCTATTTTATTTTCACTGTCTTTAGTGATTTTCCAGCATTCACAGCCATATAGAAGGGTTGACCAAACATAGCATTTCAGGACTTTCATTTTGGTGTTTATTGAGATGGTTCTATTTTTCAGGATTGGGCTCATTTTATTGAAACCAGCCTTAGCCATCGTAGTTTTCCTTTTTATTTCTGTGGAACATTTGGCATCAGATGTAATCATAATTTATATCCCAGATATTTAAATTGTTGGACTTGTTTGATCTTTTCACCTTTGCTAATGAGATTACAACTAGGATTTGCTGCTTTTTTGGGATATTACCATGCATTCTGTTTTCTTTACATTCAACAATAATCCTTTACGTTCACTTTCTGTTACAACAGTATCTAGAAGCAATTGAAGGTCCTTTCCGGAGCTTGCTATTAAAACTGTGTCATCTGCATACCTGATGTTGTTAATATTTTCTCCATTTACTTTGAGGCCTGGACATTTTTCTATGTTTCTAAGGATTGTTTCACTGTACTTGTTAAAGAGGTCTGGTGACATAACACATCCTTGCCTCACACCTCGCCGAATCTGCATATATTCACTGTATTCTCCATTAATTCGTACAGTAGCTTTTTGGTCCCAGTACATATTTAGGATAATTCTTAGATCTTTTCCATCTATGTCTAGCTTTTCCAGTATTTTAAATAGATCATCATGTCTAACTGTATCGAACGCCTTTGAATAATCTATGAAGCATAAATACAGATCTTTCTGTGCTTCAATACATCTTTCCTTTAACATTGTTAAGGTGAATATAGCATAAGTAGTATATCATTATCACCATATATTATGCGACTTCTTGTTCCATGTCAAATTTGTTTTGGGTTAAGTTCTGTATTGAAACTCTTTTTTTCTACTAGGTTTGTGTACTACATCCAGTTTTGCTTTCTAAGAGTTTCAACGTATCTTTTGGGAAATGTGGTCTTACTCGCTGCTAGTGTATTCAGACTGACAGTTAGGATGGGTCTGAAGTCATCGCCAATTTGTGGAGGGACTTGCAATGCACAATTGAAGACCTGAGAACAAGACTGCGTTTCAGTCCAAAATGGCAAACAAATTGAGTTCCTGGTATCTATAAATAGAGAAATTGTTCCCGTAACTGTTGTTGATAGTGCACATGACACAGTGCCGTTATCAGTGTAGTGAGAAAAGGGGGGAACTGCAGCGTAACCCACAGTAAATATAGACCCAAGTCCATGCTTTATGCCGTTTTTCTCCGTTGAGCAAAATTGTCTTAGGCACAGTCTGGTTCTCATGTCTTCAAATGGTGATGAGGTCAGATAACACAGTAGTCTATTCGGGTTGTCTTTTTACACAACAGGCTGCGTGGAAAGGGGTAAATGCTGAATTTGTGTCTTGTGTTTTTAAGATTGTCGAGTGGCATATGTTTAAGTTTACATTAGTTATTGAACACAAAATTAACATTCCTTATAGATTTTTATGGGTGTGATGTGCTTGGGTCTAACAGACATCTTCTACTTTTGACCACTCTTGTCACATACGTCAAACTGTAAATGTTTTATGTTATTTCAGGATAACCTTGACCGCCTCCGTAGAGTGTACGACAATGTCGGTGCTGTAAACCCTAGGAATTATCAAGCAGTAAGTGGTTCAGGCATTACTTCTGACAGCTCCCTCTTTCTCTCATACTATTTGAATGTACCTTTCCTTCAGTCAGATTGGATCTTTAGTTTTGATAAGCTTTTTACGGCACTTGCAACACAATTATGTCATATTGAAAGTTTCGAAGATTAGAGGTGGTACAAGAGAGTAACAAACACAAAAGAAGATGGAGGAGTAGAGATAAGGATAATGGATGTTTGATAGGAGAGAAGAAGCAAACCACATCAGATCACAAGCCAACCACCCGTAGATTGGCCCTATTAACAGTACAAAGTTTTGAGTGACCTCTGAAAGGAAGATACGAGGCATCAAGTGAGAGTCTTCTTGGATGTGATGGCAGTTTTAAAAGCATATTTTCAAATTTCGAGGAGAAGGGATTAAAATGTAGACCAGATGCCAGACACTTTTTAAAATTACTTTGACGTTTTTTTTCCTCTACATTTTTCGCAAAAATTCTTGATTTGTTTCTTTTTAAAAAAAACATGTCTGAGTTTACTTTCATGCAATGTTGTTGTAACAGTGGCAGCTACATCAGTTTGATTTTAGAAAGCCTTCTTGCACATTTCATTCTGCTAAGAAATCAGAAACCCTTAGAGCTTCAAAGTTTATGAAGTGTTCAAAATCAGGGGCGGCTCGTGGCGCTAAAAAGTGGGCGTGCACAATTAAGCTATATTAGGTTGAAGATAGTCAAGGGCATAGCAAATGGGACGGTATGTTTTTGTTTTCATTCTTTTTACTTGTCGTTTTGATTTCTAGAACTTCATGTAAATCTGTTTGTTACTGTTAGCTGGAAATCAATTTCTTTATCCTGTATTGGAACTAAACAATCAATTCATAACTTTCACTACGGGTTCACCACTACAAAACCATTCAAAGGCACACGTTATAGGACGGTGACTAAACTAAAGTATAGTCACGTTCACCTCCCTCAGGTTCACGATAATAGAATCACTTAAAATAGTGGCAAGACAATGAACCAATCACAATTCACTTGAGCACTCTGCTGGACTGCTCCGGGGATCACGTAATTTTGGCATAGAATAGTGTACAGTCTATAGCGTTTATTTTTAGACTGCCTACGGTGGGCTATGTTTCGTGGGAGCACATTTGAGATGTGCCGTCTTATTAAAATTAATGTACCGCCAAACTCGCTACGAGTGTCGTCATCCCTTGGGTTATCCCAAAGAGCGATTTATAGGCCAGGTTGCCACTGTTGAATGTCTTATTATGTTTTGTTGAAGCGTGTGGACTTTGGCATGGCATAGTAGATGTTTTACAGTGCTTTTGACGGCGCCTGAGGACTTGTTTTGATATATAATATTTGGCTAGTGTTTCTTTCTGGCTTCTTTTATTTCATGTTTGTGGGTACTTTTTCGTAATAAATCATTAACAACTTTTGGGCGACACTGCACGACTGTGCTCTATGGACGAACCGTGCCTGTTCAAAGTAGTAGATATTCTTGATGGTTCATCAGTATAAATGGAAGTAAAAAGGTCCTTTTTCCGTTTGCCAACTACTTTGACCCTGTCTGTCAGGGCCGGCCTGGGCTGAATGAGTCCCAGTATCCCAAAACGCAGAGGGAGTTACATTTACCGTATAGAACAACTTCCCGATTTGGAATCAAACTCGTGTCTTTTGGGTGCAGTGGGGAAGAGACTCACCGCTTCACCACACACAGAACTAGCTGTTGTGATGGTTTCTTATTTGAAACTAAACGTGACAGTCAAAATTTGGGATTAATTTCCACCTAATTCTTGATATGCGCTCGTCTGCGAAGCGGAAAGTCCGGGTTCGAGCCTCGTTTGGGACACATTTTTTTTCGCCCCCTCCTGCCCACCCAGCAGTAATGGGTACCCGACTTCGGTTTGGGGAAGTAAAGGCGGCGTGGAAAGGAACTGGCCACCCTACCACCATATTATGCCGAAGGCCCAGGAAGTTGTCTTACTAACAAGGCAATCTTCAATGTACGGATCGGATGTGGTTGGGAACAACTTCACTTTTAATTCTCGATAGGTAATTTTCATCGCAGAATCCAAGTCTGAAGTCAAAAATACAATCTAATACAATTTTGATTAAAATGAATTTCAGTTTTCTACATCCCGACTGTGGTATTTTTTAGAATTTCCGCCTCTAGACCGCAGAATGGCGATTTGCAGAGAACAAATTTACTGCAGCGGTAAAATCAAAATCGTGAAGGGCCAGCCGTGAAAGTGTGGGGATTGTGGTGTGAAGTTAGTGTGACGCCGGATACAGGTTAAAGGTTTCCGTCACGTCTGCAAGTTGGGTGACGGTAACAGCGTGAAAACGTGGGTAATGTGAAGCCAGTGCGTTTGCAGCCTTAGTTTCTCTGTTGGTGTGTGTAGCTTCTTCTGAAGTATTAATTTGGATAGCCACGTTTTATGTTGGAGGATGTATTCCACAGTTTGGATTGCTTCTCCTCGCTAATATTTTATGGATTAGCACCTTTTTGTGTGCTTTACATTGCTTTGCTGAGGCAAAAGTTCTGAAAGAGAAAGCAACACATCTTGGTATTGAAATAACTCGCCCTGTTTCATAACAGATGAGCACTAGACTGAGCACAGGCTCTAGCAATGGATCATTAGGCCCTTCAGCAGGATCTTCCACTGAGATTGCTTATCCAAGAGGGAGACTCACATCCAATGAGGTAAGTGAGCTTTGGTGAGATGGGATGATAAGTATTTTTACTTGTAAGTTTTGTCAACTTTAACTTTAAATTGACTGCTGAGTGTAAGGCTCCGTCATACGTCACTTTAGATGAGATGAGATGAGATGAGATGAGATGAGATGAGATGAGATGAGATAAGATAAGATAAGATAAGATGAGAATAGGTGATACGTTATAGTCTCAGTGGGAAATTTTTCTTGGCTGTACAGGAATGGTAAAAACGTATGTAGATATACATGTACATATAATTCAAATTATATAATATTACTTTCATTTTAAAAAATCAATATGAAGAGAACAATAAAGTTGATGTTTTTAAAAATTTAAAGTAATCACCTCACCTCAAACCAACCTCTAGAGACTTGTGGGCATCTGCTGGTGTGAATCTTCAATGATATCAAGATAGAATCAGTTGTAACTAGTTTCAATTAATTTTTTTTCAGATGGGTGAGGAGATGCACTCAACAAATTGGTGAAGAACTTTCTTACAGGAAAGGAACCACAACTCCCCTCTCAGACAAGTTCATTCTTTCGTCTTGACTGTCACAGATTATCTAAAAAATGAGAAGTCAGAGCATGATCAAAATCTCATAAGACGTAAAAAAAAGGTTCAGATCTGTGGGCAGATTTATTTTCAACGATGTTTTACAAAAATTGTTTTGTTTATTTTGTGAAACCAGTGTACAGAATCCAAACATAAGCAGAGGTTTATTCAAGTGTTCAATTTGTTTGTTTATCTTTTACTCTTTTAAGTTTTCACCTCTTTCATTAACCCTTCAAGCCATTTTAGTGCACTCCCTAACCCCAGTCCCAACCAATACAGCAGTATATCAGAGAAAGAGGTATGTATTCTAAAAAGTGGTGTGGTATCTTTGTAATGAGGTATAGATAATAACATACAATGTTTAAAGGTAAATGAACAAATAGTATGAAAATTAAAGTTTGATTAGGTTTGCTAATTTCGAAAAATGCGCAAAGTCGGTACCCCCTGAAATTGAGAATATACGCTCTTGGGACGGTGAGCGGTACAAGCGCTACTGAAAATATATACGCGTGGGGTTGGAAGGGTTAATACTTTGCCTCTGAAGGTTAAATACTGTCTTAAACACTTTCAGCCATATGTAAAGACAATGAAGGTTATTCTTTGACTAATTGGCTCGAGGAGAATTTCCTAGAACAGAACAGATTTTTAACAAAAATCCAAGTAGGCCTATACGTACATATACAAATATAATATAGATGTTGTGTTTTGGACACATTATGTAATATTATCTTGAATGAATATTGTTGTGGAGTATGCGGGATCAACTGCTGTTTCAGTTTAATTGTAAGCCGGGAGGGGGGGGGGGGGGGGGTTCAGAGCATCACAAGCCTTTCTGAAGACTTTTATTTATACATAATTTGCCATTTAAACTTATTATATTTATATATATATATATATATATATATATATATATATATATATATATATATATATATATATATATATATATATATAATATTGTATATCATGTTTTTCTTTTCTTTTTTTTTCTTTTCAAATTTTGTCTTCTGTGGATGAATTTGTACATAACCGGTATAAGTGCTAAACTGACTTATGTGAGATATGAATAAAGCTTGCAGTGTTAATATCGGCACTCATTTTAACTGTTACTATATATGTATTCTCCTTGTTGTCATACTAATCGGAAGGTTTTGTTCGTGTTTCATGGTCAGCACAAGAAAACTGCATTTTATGGTTTTGTTTTTGTTTTCTGTAGAATTAAAAAGCAAGCAAAGGAATATTCACTAATAATCTTTTCATTTTATAATTGGTTGCTTTTAGGGACAAGCAGACTAACTCAGATTTCGGGGGTTTCCAGAAATCTTGACCTACGGGGTACATCAAAAGTGGGCATTGCCCTAACTCAGTTTGGTTTCATTTGTGTGTATATTTTTTGGTTATAAAAAACAACTCTCCTCGTCTTTTAAAGAAACTAAACAAGGGGCAGAAATTTTATCTTCGATTTTCTCCAAACAGAAGTGTTCAGGATAGCCCCCTTATAATACGTGCTTCAAAGCGCCCAATTATACTGATGTGAATGGAATGATTAAGTAAAATGACGTTTTTGTATCATGACTAAGTAATTTGTTATTCTTCTGAATTTGACAAAACCTTTGAGCTGTAATAGCCTTTGATTCCTTCATGTATAGGTGTGCTACTTTTTCTCAAAAAGAGAAAAAGTTTAGCTGTTCAACTGATATTAATCAATGGGCCTGAATCTCATAGGGCACACAATATTATCTCAGTTTGCATGTCATTAGACTATGATGATGTGACTCACCGTGGTTTGAATTCCTTACCAGCCAGGCTTGATTAAGTTGAATTGACAGAAGAGATTTTACTATTCTCCACCCACTTCACCCACTTTACTTGGTTTTCTTGGAGATGGACGTAATAAATCAGAGGTCTTGCTTTTTAGATAAATCTACATTGTTGAAAAGGGCTCGAAGTTCCTGCTGACTAATAAATGTTCAGCCCCCCCCCCCACCCCCACCTGACTTTCCCTTGCTAATTTTTTCCCGTACATCGTGGAAGAGAACTTATTCCATGAGTTCATGACTAATTGTGGGTAATTCCATGCCCAAGATAACATTACATACTTTAATAACTAATTTACTTTTCCTTTTCCTTTTCCATCTTCTGTTGCCGTTCAGCGTCGATGGGAGATGCAGCCTTTTCAGTTTGGATATTGTGATCTCTCAGGGTTTCCTTGACACCCTGAATTCACCTTTTGTGTGGCTTTCCTCTTCCTTTATAGCCTGGGTGCTTGGTGTTAAAGGCTCTCGAGCCTGGCTGGCTAGGTGACATTCGTAACAGGTGGCTAAACCATTTTATTCTATGCCTTTCTATGAAATATGGGCAGGACTCAGCGTCAGTAGCTGCTCTTACATCTTTAACTAAGAGACATTATATTTACCTGTTGCATGTGTTTTCACTTCTGTGAGACGTTTCTTTTGGTAACTGATCTACAACACTCACAGGGACATTCGCTGACTTTTATTCCCTCAGTTCGTATCTACTGGTACTTTTTTTAAAACCCTCGTGCCTCAAGTTGTGATATTCACATATTTCTTTGTTGTTCTGTGCTTCTTGTTTATCGCTACTCTTTTAATTCTTTGAGGATGTGCATTGTGGCCAATCGACGACTCATGAAACGTACTGCTTTGTGGCAGTGAAAAAAGAAGCAAAGATTTAATTTCGATACTCGAACAGATTTTTCAGTTCTTTGCCTGAAACGTCTGGACAACGACATGCACGCTAAGAAATGTTTAAATTCGTGTTTCTGATTTGTCTACAATGGTTCTTCCAAAATATGCAACAACATTGCCTTCAGTTTACTGCTACTTGAACATAATTATGTGTCCGCTATGGCCTTGAAGAGTATAGCAAATAGATCTATGCATACATTATTAATACGCTTGGTCTTATTAACTGACTGATTTTTAAAACCTGAATTTGAAAACTTTGTGTATGTTGTTAAATGATGTTGTATTTTACTGTTTGTTTTCAAATAAGCTCTGTTTGTCCAAAGGTGCCTTGATATCCAATTTTTATACAACTGACATAAAAATCAAGGTTTCATTGGAAATCAGGGCTATTCGAATAAGAAAGCAGAAGGTCATTTCAACACCTGGGGCTGGATTACAAGTTGGTGATTGATGATAAAGGCAGTTCCCATTTATGATATTGATGTCTTCGATCACTGTATATACATTAAGTTAGCTACTTACTGCATGCTGTACTACATTATAAGACAGTGTCATGGGACTAGCTTAGAAATACTGAATAATATAATATGCATTTTCAAGCGAATTTCTGGAAGAGGAACGATTTGCTCAATGTACATATAAGGTTTTCAAACTAATGGGCACATGCAAATTTGATTGATATTTGAAAACTATAAAACCTTGCGACTTTATCATTTTAAGTTTGTGTGTGTGTGTGTGTGTGTGTGTGTGTGTGTGTGTGTGTGTGTGTGTGTTCTGTAATGACAGGAATTTTAATTGCTGCAATGATATAATGCAATGTTTTTTGTTTTCTTTTTTGCTCTTTCCTTTCCAGAGTTTAAATTAAGAGATGAAAACGCACCAACAATGTTTTTCATAATGCAGAGAAAGATTATATTCCACTGTGGTTCACTGCAGTTCTCATTGCCTCTTCAAGTCACAGACAGCACAGTCAGTTTGAAGTGTGAGTTTCGTCTGAATGTAGGCTACGTCTTCCTGTGTTATCCAGTTAGGCTGTTAAAATTATGAAATCAAATGGGCTATTTTATATATATAAAGTAGGCCTATATAATATAATATGTTATATATTCAGTGGTCTCCACCAAAGAAAACCTTACATCAGAACTCAATCCGCCTTATAGCTTGTTGTTACAGTGTAACGGAAGTTTTTCTGTTTCATATGAATGCCTAAGACCCTGATCTTAAAGCAGAAATCTGCCTGAGAATTGGGTTTGATTTAAAGGCAAAAAAACACTTCTGGCCCACATTTTGCTCCTTTGCACTTGACAAGACAGAAAGTGGAACTCTCGGGGGCTCTCGTGGCCTAGAGGTTAAGGTGTTTGCATCTCTTTCAAAGGTCCCGGGTTCGAATCCGGGTAGCGATCGAAATATTTTCTTCTCTAAAATTGTCTCCTTTCATATTCTTTCTCTCTCTCTTGCAATATTCTATCTTCACTTTCTTCCCCCACCCCCTCACCTCCTTTGCCCCCCTCCTCTGGGCTCCGGACTCTTTCAGCAGTCTTTCTACTGCTACTCCTTGGCTCCTTCTTACTGCTGTCTTTCAGCCACACCCATGATCTTCTAGTTCGAAATACCTACACCAAGCCTTCTCGGACAAGAGCAAAAAATCTCAAAGGTCCCGTGTGCAAGTTGTGCACGTTAAAGATCCCTTGGTGGTCTAAAATTGACGAGAGTAGGTTTCGGCCGCCACCCTGTCAAAATTACAAATTTCCTACCAACTGAAAATGTTTGGTGTGTCCTGGTCGCTCATATGACCTTATGCAGTTGAAAGCGCCGTAAAACACTTACCAAAAAAAAAGTGGAACTCTCCAGGGCAGGACGAATACATGATTAATACTGTTACCAAATGATAATAAATATAACACTGTTGGGGCACGCAGAGAAGGAAAAGATTGGGCGTTCTCACACTCTCCCTCAAAAGAGCACTGCTGCATTTAAAGCACATTGGTGTATGTGCGTGTGTGTGTGTGTGTGTGTGTGTGTGTGTGTGTATGCGTATGTGTGTGTGTGTGCATGCGTATGTGAGTGTGTATGTGTGAATGTAGAAAGCATTGTGAACTGACCTCGACAAGAAAGATCTAGATATTTTGCCACCTGGATGATGAAGTGTTTTCTGAACAGCATTTATTGATGTAAGTTAGAGGTTTGATATTGTCTTTGATGTTTTCAAAACTGTTAAGTTGAATTGCTGAGAACAAGACTGTGCCTTTGGCCCAAATGACAAAAAAATTGAGTTCTTGGTAGGGTCTATCTATAAATAGAGAAAACTTTCCCAAACATCCTATTGATATGCACACGGCACTTTACTGTTAATGGTGTAGTGAGAAAAAAAGGCGGGCGGGG